TTCCCTCCTTCCTAGGTTGGTAAATTGAGTATCCAGCTCACCGGGGGAGAGAGAAATGTGTAGCCTGCATAATTAAATTATTAACTGCTCGGATATTGCTTTAAGTGATATGGGATGGTATATTGGCACACTTTGCTTTTGCTCATAATGTTGACACTGTTTATATCTTCAACAACTTCAAATGTACATGTAGATTAAATAGAAAAAATAGTGTGTAATCTCTCCACAGAAATAAAGTCCTAAACTAGGTACAAAGAAAGAGATGCTTTGATTTCTCTAAAACTGTTTACCAGGCAAAAATAGTATAAATTATGGAATTAAGACAAATGGTCCAAAGATCTGGGCCAGATGTGAAGCCTCTGGCTCTTGAAACCAGTCTGATGGCAAGGCCAGATGGGGCTTACAGATTGCGGAAAAGAGTGATGCTGCAAATAGATTTGATTTCTACTACATTTTTATTAGATAATGTCACTTCCCTTTAGTCTCCTTCAGCCCTTGCTCTATTTTGGCCCCAGTTTCTATGTTTGGTTTTTATTTCAGTCTGTGTTGTGCAGTATATTTGTTCTGTCTTTACAGAGCAAGCCTGAGCCCAGAACCATCACATACTAATCACAGTCATTACCTGAAAATAAAAAAAAGGAGAGCATGTGCCAGCATTTTTAACATATTAAAGCAAATGTTAAAGGTGGATAGGGAAAAAAAACCCCTAGGTCTATCTATAAGAAACTTGTCAGAAATCATCAGCGCAAAAGGAGGCTTCACTGATGCAGATGTTCATGCTATTTATATGGGGGGGGAAGCCCCCAAAAGGTCATGACAATTTTAAAGGAAAAGTTTTAAAACATCTGGCACAAACTACCCTAGACATATTTGTCTGGAATTAGGCAGTAATACTCTTTGTGAGGTAGCTACCAGGTTCCCAAATGTCATGCACATATAGAAAGGAAAGGAAATGAACATTTACCAGACTTTTAAATGTCCCAATGCAACTCAATAGATGATGCAAAGATACAGATTTCTGAAATTTTATTCAGATCCGGTCTCAGTTTGGTTCGAACAGAATTGGGACCAAATTTGAACACTAGATCTGGTCCTGAGCCCGATCAGGGCTCCTGAACAGACATCAAATGAGCAGCTGCAGCTTAGAAGTCTTCGGGCAGCATTTTGGGTTTGGTGTGAGAGCCGGGGCGGGCAGGTCGGTGCCCCTAAGAGGAAGCCAAGACAGTTTTGAAGGAACGAGAGAGAGAGAGAGAGAGAGAGAGAGAGAGAGGAGAGAGATGATGCTAAATAATGCAGGGCTTTTAGGTGTGAGTTGCAAGAGGGAAGAGAACACAGAAAGGGGATTTTAGACAGCAGGAAGTTATCAGATTTGGAAAAGTGGAAGTCAAAGGTAAACAGTGACAAGGAGGGAAAGAAAGGGATGAGGCAAAGTTATTCAAGGTGAGGGGTGAAAACAAAGACTTCACACTGCATATATTAAGGACTCCAGCAGCCAATGAAAAGTACTTAATATATTAAGCTCATTATAAAAAAAAACATACAAGTGTGGAGAGCAAGTACTGAAGACAGCTGGCAGTTATAAGTGTCCTCCATTCCTGAATCACAACAAGAACACTGCCACAAAAGACTTGTTTGCAAAGACAGCAAAATATATCATAGACGGATTGTGAAGAAATTGGCTACGAAAGGGTATACCATAAAATACCTAAAAGAAAAAGGACCCCCCCCCCAAAAAAGGAGCGTAACTTTCTTTCCTTAAGATTAGGGGAGATGAACACCAACAGAGATTCCCAGGGAGGGATTTCAAAAGGGGCCACAACAGAGAAGATCCTGATGGGAGTCGTGGCTTTGTGTCTTTGGTATACAAGCAGCAGAAGACACAGCACCAGGACACTTCCAGCAGAACCTAATAGGTGAGGAGGTTCACAGGCAAGATGGGACCTACTTATTTGTATATAATGCACATGGTGCCTCTCTCTTTTAAAAATTTAAACAGGATGCCCGTTGAGTGTGAGGACCAGCTGAAGGAGGCCTGGACGAAGGTGTGCAAGTGCATGGCAAGCGACAGGTGTGTGACACCCCCCCCCCACCGGCCTAGACCCACAATCACTCACCCAGAAGAAGAACTGTATGGCCTCCAGGCTGGTGAGGGCAGTGCTCAGCGGGACGATGAGGATGGTGTAGCCTCTTTGGACTGCCATGGAGGGGCTACGGTGGTCGGGAGGCAGCAGAAGGCACAGCAGGACGGGCGGAGGCCACCGGGGCATGCCAGCCAGGCAGGGATGTCCCCCTGAGGTCACCCCGTTTGGTGGGGTGGAAGGGAAACGACCCGAAGTGGGCCAGGACCCCTTCCCCAGCCTTTCCTCCCTGTCTTTTTGTAAAACCTTCTGAGACCAAGGAAAGAATTGCTTCCTTGGCCTAACCCAGAAGCACCTCACTGAGAGCCCAAAGTCCTTCAAAACTCTTGCTCCCCTTTTCTGAGGCTTTCTCCCATTCTCCCTCGGACTCTTCCGGAGTCCCTTTTTCTGCTTGACGGGACCCCCTTCTTTCTTCTCTCTCTTGTTTCCCTTTATGGAGGTTCACCATCCCCTGCAAAACCCCTTCTCCGGTCTTGCCATCACTGCTTTCCCTCAACCCTCTCCCCCTTCGTAGTGGCTTTCCCCTCTCATTCCACCCACCCACACAATGGTCCAATCACCCCCCGGCACTGGTCTTTCTGGCAACCTTCTCCTCTGTCAATCCGTCACCCTCTTCTCCTTTCCTTGCCCGAGAGGTGCTTCTGCTCCTCCACCCTCTGCTTCCTCTTGGCATTCGCCCTCCTTGTCTTCTTCAGTGCCCACCGGCTGCCTTCAAACCACTCTGGGTTGCCAGCTTTTTCTGTATTCCCCCCTCCTGCCCCCAATGACTCTCTCTTTTCTCCCTGGGCTCTTCCTCTGCTACTCCCCCTTCCCTGCTGAGCCCTCCCTTGCCCTGGGACAGGCTGACCGGGTCCTGTATCTTCCCCTCCTCCCTCTTTGCCCCAAATCTGCTGATCTCAGCACCCCTTGTGCATTCTGGGACACTCTTCAAAGCCTCAGTTGCCTTGGACAATGGGCACCGTAATCCCGGCCTTTCCGGCCAGCTGAGTTTGGGGAGTAGGTGGGGATGGGATGAGGGAAGCAGAATGACTGCTCTGCCAAGGGATTAACTGCTTTGGGTCAGGAAGGGCCTCATCCCCAAAGAATCATTGTATCCTTTCAACCTCTACTCTCCAAGCACCATGAACCAGAGTGGTTTTAAATGAAGTCATCATCATGATCACAGAATGGCAGAGCTGGAAGGGATCCTATAGATCATCAAGTCCAGCCCTCTACATTTTTATTTCGCCCAGCAGAGAATGGCTGACAGCATCAGCAGAGTAGACGGAAATAAACAATACAAGCAAAACATCTTTAAGATTAGCTAGATGGTCCTCCTGTTTCCCAACCTCTTGGTGGGGGAAGCAGCTGAGGGGAGGGTTTGTGAATGTGTGTGTGTGTGTGACTTGTAAATGATTTGGCACATTCTTCCTGATTCAAAACCACGGCTACAAAAAGAATGTTTAATGAAAATAACATGTTCAAAATGTTGCTCAGCTTTCATGTCATGTGCCATTTGTCTTAAAGCAAAAGGTTTCAGCCTAAGGGCCAAATTCAGTCTCAAAAGTGTTCGAGAGGAGGAGGGGGCCCAAAAGGACAGGACCAAAAATACTACAAAATGTATCCTAAAGATCTTTTTGCCAGTAATTAAGCTTTAGAAGAAGCATTTCAGTCTTTCAGAATGAAAAAAAAAAGTCTCATACAAAAGATAGGAAACTAACAAACAATTGAACCATGGGATACGAAGGGGTCATGGCCTTCAGAGAAACCCCAGAGGTCCACCTTTGATGGGGGGGGGGCTGAGGTTCCTCACCACTTCCCTCATGTCACCTCCTGTTGCTTGGCTAATTGCTCCATGCCTGCCTTTACAGTGACTGCATGGCCAAAATCTTCTAGCCTAGTTAGGCTGGCATAACACAAACAGTATAATCTTTAGAGGTGAATTGTTTTAAGTTAAGAAATCACCACAGACACTGTCTGTTGAAAACTGATTTACATGATGCAGCACACAACTCTATCTGTTGCAAACTGATTTACATGATGCAGCACACAACTGATAATGTCTACGGAGATTTCTTAACTTGAGGTAGTTTACCTCCAACAGTTATGACACTTGTGTAGCTACGCAAGAGAATTTTGGCCTATGTGTTTTATATCATTGCACAGTCTTTGCTACATCAGCCTAAGACATGTGATGCCTAAGGTGGCACAGCGGTTAAACTGCAGTACTGCAGCCAAAACTCTGCTCAGGACCTGGATTCAATCCCAGTTAGCCAGTTCGAGGTTCACTCAGCTTTCCAGTGTTGGTAAATTGAGTCCTCTGCTTGCTGGGGGGGGGAGTGGGCATAATTAAATTGTAAATCACACAGAGAGTACTTTAAGAGCTATGGGGCAGTATATAAGCAGCGTTCACTCAGCCTTCCAGTGTTGGTAAATTGAGTCCTCTGCTTGCTGGGGGGGGGAGTGGGCATAATTAAATTATAAACCAACCAGAGAGTATTTTAAGAGCTATGGGGCAGTATATAAGCAGCCTGCTTTAAGGTGGAATAGCCCATTCCACTGCCAGCAAGTGAAGCTATAGAGCACAAAAGGAGGATACCTGAGTGGAAAATACAAAGATGCTGTAGCTTTAAGAGTAGTACGGAAGAGCAAATATTTGCAGCTGCAGCTTGAACTCTTAAAACAACAGAATCCCTGAATATCAAGATGGCAAGGCATCAACCTAGCATAGTATTAGAATTGCACTGCATCAATTAGGGATTAAAGAAGAAGAAGAAAACAAAAATAAAGGAGGGGATTTCTCTGTCCTCCCTTTTAATGTCACAATCCACTTAATATGTCACAGTGTTGACTCCTCAGTTAATGTCACCCACTGCTCCATTTGGGTGCAGGCTAACCTTCCGCATAGGCTACACAATGAGCTAATTAAGATCAAGCTGAATCATACCAAAAAGAGTACATGCCCTACCACTGTGCCAGAAAGGAGCGGGACAGCTCTTAAAGAGGTAGGATGGATCTATTCAAATAGAAACACATATGGAAACTATAATTTAGCTCAAACCGAACCGTGCCAAAAGTGATCCAAACAGTAATTTATGTACTTGTCTGGACAAGTCCTTAGTCAAGTTATTTTAACACCAGAGGCAGAATATCCCACAAGTCTCTTTGCTTCTCTTTGCCAGTGAAATACAACAAGCTAATGGAGTCTCTGCTGCCCTTCCATGCTATTCCAGATCAGCTGCCCGACTCTGCCTCTGGTAGGACCAACCATACCTAAAATTTAAAGTCTGTTCTGGTGAAATACTGTAGGCCAACTGGCACCAACCCACACCCCACCCACTGCTGCCATTACTGCCACCACGTCCCCCACTACCACAACAGACCTGTTGTGTAAAAAATGCTAGTCATGCAATGCCCTTAGATCTTTGCTGTACACTGAAAAGCCAGTTTATGCAAAGGGGCAGCTTGTCTCACATGAATTTGCTGCTCCTCTGTTACACTTCTTGTAAAGTTTCCTGCTTAAGCTCTGAGGTCTTGCTGGCTGCAACCCACTCTTCCTGGTGCAGCACCTCCTGGAATATTGTGCCCCATTCGCATCACTCTAAATCAAGGGTCCTCAACCCCTAGTTCGTGGACTGGTCCCGGTCCGTGGCCTTGCCAGAACCCGGCCATGGAGACAAATCTCCTGCCCCCCTCATGCCCAGATGCATGCATGTCCCTCCCACACAAGCACGGCCCCTCCCACTGCCCCTCCCACGACCCCTTCCATTCACACACAGCCCCTCCCATGCATGCACCATGGCCCCTCCGATGGCCCCTCCCCCACACACAGCCCCTCCCACACACGTATAGATGCACAAATGACCCCTCCCACACACACAGATGCTCCCCTGCCCCACCTCCTGCATGCTAAACCAGTTCATGTAGGCAAAATGGTTGGGGACCACCGCCCTAACATAAGGCTTCTGGGCATGTTGGATAAAAAAAAGTTTTGAAATCAATTTAAATAACAATTTAAATCACAATTTAAATTATTATTTACATTTTTAAAAACTGATTTTTTAAAAATTTTAATCAATAAATCAAATTCACCCTGATTCTGGGCAACCTAAACTATCAGGGTGTTGAAGAATTATTTTTCCGAAGAATAGCTCAGCCCTTTCAGTTTAGATAAGGGTGGGGAACTTTTGAATCTTTAGAACTTGATGAATCCCTGCTTCCAATCATCCACAACATTGGCCAGGCTGGCTGAGGATGATGGGAACTGGAGTCTAGCAACATATGAAGGAACCACAGGATTCCCAGCCCTTTTTTGGGTGGGTGGGGGAAATGACCTGGAGAGATATAAAAGAGGTTTATAAAATTAATCATGGTGCATAGGAAGTGAATAGAGGATCCCGCCCCCCCACCTCTCCTGCAACATTAGGTCATTTGATGACAATGACTGACAGCAGATTCCAGACAGACAAAACAAAGTACTTCCTCTTTGGTGCTTAACTGACTGACCTAATCGTTCTGAATTTGCTTGATCACCCTATAAAGCTATCTGAGCTTGGTGGGGTCTTCATGGGGTCCTCACACTGATCAGGCATTCACACTGCTGGAGCTCATGATAGTGACCACCGTCTTGAGCTAAAGGCCTATCAAAGACTATTAGTCCTGGAATGATTTAAGGGGGCGGGGAGCCTGTCAAGCCCATTGTAACAAAAGCAACAAAGGCCAGTGTCCTGTTGCTTAAATACTGAGCAGAAAGAAAATCATTTAAGAGATTGCTCAGATGGGCATTTGTCCCACTTTATGGTGCACTACGAGTCAGATTGGTTCTCTCTTGTTTGCTGCGTTGTGGAAGAAGCAATGGGAATAAGTCAGATTGGTTCTCTCTCTTTCCCAATGATCACATGACATATCTCTAGAATGAGCCAATTTGTCTCCAGAACACCCCAACCTGCACCTTTTTGAGCCCTTTTCAAGGGCTTCTACTTTCTTAGTGGAGGTTACTGCACTCCAATTTAGTCCGTTCCCAGCATGTGCAATCAATGGGAACAGACTGAAATTGAGCCTTGCAGAGGTCAAAGCTATTGTGAAGTGGCTTAATAAATGAGCCATTTGAGGATAATGTGCTCCTCTGTGGAGAAAAACTAGACTATCGCTGATGCACTGAATCACTAAGATTAATTTTTTTTAAAAAAAAATTCCCCCCTTGTGTGTTGTGCTGATCAGAACTCCAACTATGCACAGAAAGCGAATTAATTTTTTGTTTGCCTCTGCTAGACTATCGCTGATGCACTGAATCACTAAGATTAATTTTTTTTAAAAAAAAATTCCCCCCTTGTGTGTTGTGCTGATCAGAACTCCAACTATGGCCAGTTTATTGATTGGCACTACAAACAAGAGGAAGAAAATATATTTTAAAATTTAATCCAAGTGATTCAGTGCACCAGTGACAGTCCAACACGATTTTTTTAAAAAACTTCTTCTGCTCCTCTGCATAGGAAGTGTTCAGTGGACAGTGGAAGGAGCTGGAGGGTCGCTTGGTGTTGATATACTATTTGGACATGAGGTTCACTCCTTCTCCCAACCTCAAGCAACCATATTTAGACCACACCAGCTCGGACCAAGAGGGTCCAGTGTAGGCATGCCCTACTTTTTCCCACCTCCCTGCAAGCTGCTCATTAAGTACCACTTGTGTGGTCTCCCTCACAACCAGTACAAGAAGAGACATACAACAAGGAGCCTACTGCTGTGTGTGTGTGTGGAGCTTATGTGAGCTCCATGTTTGTTCAACAGGATCCACAGAGTCTTGCTGTGCTTTTAAAAACCAGCATGTATATTAATGTGTTTTACGTTGTTTAAGCATTTGCAGGCTGCAACCACT